CCATTTCCCTTCTGTCCTTGGCTACTTCTGGAGCGAACTCCTTAAGTGAGGCTCATTTCTCTCATCATTCATCGCTGAGCTGTCATGGTTTGCTGGTTAAGTAGAGAGAGGGAGAGATTGATGGGACTGAAATGCTGAAATATCGTGGCAAATAGGATTTTAGCAATGGGGATAAGTTGCCAAATAAATCTTGTGTTATTTCTGTGTTGTTTTCTGCTTTTTTGGTTCATCTGGCTACAAATGAGCCCAGCAATGGTATTGCTTTTCTGGCAGCCTTGAGAATTGCTGACAATCCATGGCTGGGATTTTCAGTGATCCCTTTTGTATTCTTGCAATCTTGCCCCCCCATGGTTTGCCCCCATCACTCTGCAATGCTTGTGCATTGTGCCAGCGCTGCGCAGAATCCAAAACGTTTGGAACATCTACTGATGTTGTCCCTGCACACACACGGACTGTTGATAGGTATAGAAAGATTTTTTTTATTTTTATTTTTTTTCTTCCTGCAGGGTATGACCCCACTGATGTATGCCTGTGCTGCTGGAGATGAAGCCATGGTCCAAATGCTTATAGACGCTGGAGCAAATTTAGACATCCCGGTGAGTAACCGAGGACCCTCTCCCCACAATTATCCATCTGTAAAACTAAACAAGAGCAGTTCTGAAATCTCTCCTAGCAACTGAAGGCTTCATGTCTAGAAGCTTCTGAGCAAGCCACATCTTTCAGAAATCATTGCTTCAGGGATTTGGGAGGGGGAAGAAAACCTTCAAAACCTCTCGGAGCGCTCGGCGGCTCCAATTATGATTGGCATTGGCAAGTCTAATAGGCCTGGGGGGGCAAAGGGGGGGCTCTGCCTGGAAGAGCTGCCGCTAGGAGAAACCAGTAAGCCCATTAAAAAGGCCCAGGGGACTGGACCGAGCGACTAGCGCTGGCAGTGTTCTCTAAATGGCGTAACTTACCGTTCCCCGGGGTCGTCACTTACAAAGAAAAAAGCCAGTTCTGTACAAGTCTGAAATCGTGGCAGGCGGATGCTGCCGTGGTTAAGAACGGGTTAATAACCCAGCTCCTTCCTCCCAGGTCCCCAGCACCTCTCCGCGCTACCCTTCGGTCCATCCCGACAGCCGGCACTGGACCGCTCTGACCTTCGCCGTGTTACACGGGCACATCTCGGTGGTTCAGGTGAGCGGGGGAAATCCCCCGGTTGGGAAGCTTCCAGGAGACGCCGAGGGGCCGACGCGCGGCGCTGGGTGCTGGGCAGCATCCTCCCGGTCAGCCTTCCCCAGCACGGGTCCATCTCCGGCTCCCTGTGCTCTTTGGTGGAAACCTTCCAAAAACCAGGGGAAAATTGGTGCAACCGAGGCTTTTATTGGGGAACTGTGAGTTAATGACATAATTCCGAGCAAGATGCAAAGCACAGCGAGGTTCCTCGTTGTAATTTGGTTTCAGGACTGGCCCAAGGCTTACCGCTTCCATGCACAATCATTTCTTTGGTATTAGATAAACGAGCGCTTCACGTGGAGTGGTTACAGGTGGACTGCTCGATGAGGATGCTTTCTGGCATTAGATAATTGGTTTATACTTTTACACGTGCAAAAATGAAGCGTGTGCTGATGTTTGCTCCAATGGCTGTAACTCATCTGTAGCTTCCTGTATAATCCCTGAGAATTGCATGAATGAGACTTAAGCTGTCGTGGGAGCTGAGCCTCTCGCATCCTCCGCGCTCCCTTTCCTGGGGAATGAATGTGGGGGGCAGCAGGATGGGTGGGGTCCTGGAAATCCTACAGAAACCTCAAGGAGAATTCAAAACCGATCACAGCAGGTAGCCAATTACTGGTTCATTTAATTTACTTTCTGCTCAAAGGGGAAAAAAAAAAAGATGTAAGCAAAAGGAGGCTGCATACACTCATTTTTTGTGTACATTTGTAAATAATGACAAAGATTAGATTCCACCTGGTAAAGTGCCAGGGCTAAGACAAAGGTTGGACAGGGAGGCAAGATGCTCCCAGGAGATGTAGCCCAGGATAGCAAAGCTCCTGTTGGACCGCGTGACCCGCAGCGTTTCTTTTATTTTGGTTAAAACTTCTAAAGATTACCTAATTTAAATTTTTATTTTCATTAGGCAGCTCTTGTTAAAAGGCTAGCTGTTCCCTTTTGCTGGAATGGGTGTATAAAGTCGCCTTCCCAGGTCAGGTCTCCCATGCCACGCTTGGTGGAATAGCTGGTATCTCCAGAGGGAAAGGAACCAGCAGCTGCGCTCTGCAAAAAGCTTTGTAACCAGAGTGTGAGTGGCCGGCGCTGGTTGGGGATGGCTGGAACGGTGCAGGAACCCCACCTGGCCACGGAAGGTCCCCATCATTTGTAACCTTCTCCCCTTACCTGGGAGGGGGGTGATGTCCCTGGCGAGCGGCTCGGAAAAAAATCAGTGGAAGGGGGTTTTGTGTTTGGCAAATCCCTGGAGCTGCCAGGGCTCTGTACGCGGCTCCGGGGAGCCCACGAGGTATGTTTGGCCTCCAGGGATGATCCCCGCCCCCCCCCCGAGGTGCCCAGTTTCCTGTGAAACTAAATGAGATGGACTTCCTGCGCTGAAGAGAAGCTCTGATTGCAGAGCTCTTTGGAGCTGGGAAATTCCAATGGCAAAACCATCTTCCTACAGGAGATTTAAAAAAAAAAAAAAAAATTCCCAAACAAGGCATTCAATGGCCAGCTGAGCACCTTCCCAGCATAAAATCGCTAGTGAACACACAATGAAGCAAAAGAGAATAAGAAAACTCTAAACTGCCATTCACACGGATATTTTAGCCCTAGGCTGAGGATGGAAATGCAAGAGAAATTTGCCTTGTAATAGATATTTTGCTCTAGGCTTGGAGGTGGTCCCTTTGTCTCGCTCTTTGCTCTGAATCTCCTGGTTCTCCTTTCTAGCACACAGCCTCTTCTGTTTTGTCTTTCTGCCTTGCTCTTTTCTCAACTCCTCGTCCTCCCTGTGTCCGTTGCAGCTGCTCCTGGATGCTGGCGCCCACGTCGAGGGATCTGCCGTTAAAAGACAACTACGCCGAGACCCCCCTTCAGCTGGCTTCGGCCGCAGGTGAGCTCCGCGCAGCCTCGGCACGCTCCGTCCCTCCCTACTACAGAGTAACTACGACCGGTTCCCGTGGGGGTCCGGAGCCTGGAAAACACGTTAGGAGTCGCTTTGCGTTCTGAGGCACCGTGGGTGCAGTAAAGATGCCAACGCTGAGCCGCATACTGAAAAATCAGCATTTTAAAAATTTCTGAAACACAAGTAGGAACCCCGGCTGGGTTGGCAGCGGGCTGACGGCTGTCGTCATGCGGCAGGAGCTTGATGGGCACTAAACGAGCTTTTGCAGCTAGTTCCAACACTTACCTCCTGCCACCAGCCCCCAGCTGACGGGAACGACTCCTTTGCACAGGGTGCTGGCAAGAAACATAAACCAGCTACTGTCTGGTCTGGGCATGTCCTGGATCTAAATAACTTCCAGATGCAAAAATTAACAAGTTTAAATTCAGCCTGGGGAAAAATAACTGCTGTATAAAGAAATTTGGTTTATTAATTTATTAAATACAAGTAAAATTCTGCATTTCTTCTACCCGTTTAGCGTTCAGTAAGTCTGTGCTAGCCTGAGTGTCCCTGTTGTTTTTCAACACTTTTCACCTCTGTCCTTACTTTTTTTCCTTTATTTCTTTCTGCTTCATTTTTGTGTGTTTATGAAGACGAGTCTCTGCCTTGCTCTGTGCCAGCCTTTATTGAAGGGGTTAAAAAAAAAGTCCTCCTCCCCTCCCAGTGGCAGATGCCCATTGTGCTGGGTCTGTTCCCACCGCTCACCACTACGTCTCCTGGAAACGGTGGAGAGGAGATCTGGCTGAACGTGGGCTGCACCAATACGCTTGTCCGCACGTGGTTTTAGGGGTCAGCAAGCCCAGTACAGAGCAGCTCCCATGCAGCCTTCTCTGTTATCCTCATCCACCAGCTGAGCAGCTGAGACTCCCATCCCAGTTCAGCTGGTTGCACACATCTCTGCTGGTGCGTATTGAAGGCGCCAGACCAGTTCGATTCTCTTTTCATTCTGCCTCTCGTGGGGTGTTATTGGGTAATTTAAGTGCTGTGTGACTCCGTTTCTCTGTCTGAAATGTTACGAAGACCAATGTGTGCTCACAAGATGCTCTGGATGCCTTCGTCAGCAGCATAACAGTTGCTGGTACGGTGTCTGGTACCAGTCCTATGGCAGATGCTTTCGAAGAGGTAACGGACATGGAACCATCACGACGTTTGTCTGTTTTTTCCCAGGGAACTACGAGCTGGTCAGCTTATTGCTGAGCAGGGGTGCTGATCCGCTCCTGAGCATGCTGGAAGTCAACGGTATGTCTTCATCCCTCCATGAAGATATGAATTGCTTCAGTCACTCCGCTGCCCACGGGCACAGGTAAAGCTCTCTTCGTGCTCAGAACAGGGTTTGGGGTTTTTTTTTTGCCTAAGGCTATCAATGTGACTTTATAGCAAGTCTTATACCCAGATCCCTGGGTCTGCAGTTCAGAAGATGGTGTAAAGACTCTCCTGCTAAACCCGTTCTTCAGTGCCGCGTACTTTCTCATAGATTCGATGCAGATAGTGCCTTTTGAGCCTTTTGGGGAACAGAAAGGTTATTTAAACCGGTAGTTGCTCTCTGTTACATCCCTTTGAGAAAAAATGAGGCAAGACTTTCATTATTCATCAGCTCTAGCTTTGATAAAAGGGATTTTTATTTTAGTCAGAAGCACAACAGAAAGATCTTTGTTTGCTTTTTGCTTATCCTCTCACTTGCTGGGCAGCACCAAGACCTGGTTCTGGGCCATGTGTGAGCAGACTCAGTTCAACCCATGCGTAGGTTCATGTTCTGAGACAGAATCTGGTCACATTAAGGCTTACCGACCCTGTTTTCAGGGTAGTGATTTAGAAATAAGACATTAGTTACAAACTCATGCACAAATCCTTCTGTTCCCAGAAAAAAAGTTAGTGTAACGAGCCAATTAACCTGTGTTAACCTGAGACAGCCGCAGGGTCGGACAGTAGGGCTGGCCCTTCCCCTAGCACCTTCAATAGGAGCTGCCTGCCTCGAACACGGCTTTGCTTTACCGCAGCTCCGGGTACACCGCACATCTGGATACACCGGGGAAGATATCCCAAGCTGCAAAACCTCTGCAAAGCTGGAGCAGCCCAATGCCGTTCTTTCCAGTGTAAACCACACAAACACGGTTCTGTTCCCAGTTCTGTTCCCCTCCCACAATCTTCTGCAACATCTGACCGTGCAAACCGTGAACTTCAAGCCTTGTTCTCCAATTGGATAGGGCAGGGTGATCCTAAAGCTCAAAATTACCGTTTTGCAGGCACGCTGAGCGGTGTGGGTGCAAAGCGAGCACCAGCTAGTGGCAGTTCAGCATCACCGCTGGGCACGGGGGGGACGGGCTGGGATGGGGAGGGTCCGCTGCAGCTGGCTCCAGCTGTTTGCAGGGACACCAGTGGTGGCTGGACACAAACAAGAAAAACCTTTTTTTTTTTTTTTTTTTGCCTAAATATGTAATTTTTCCAAACCACAACAATCCTCCCTGGATGTAGTGATGCAGAAGTATCATTTTTCATGGTTTCTATTTGCTGATACAGGAAAGGGGTCTGATTAAAATAACATGATTGAAGAGCATATTCCATTCTTTTGCCCTTGATGCCAGGGCATCATTTCTAGCACCTGGGATGGGGAAAGACGAGTGTGCGAAATGCTGTTCCATAGCCTAAATGACCACAGTCCTGCCTGAATTGTTATTTCATTTATTAATAAGTGATATCTCTTTGTCCTCCTCCTCAGGAACGTTCTGCGCAAGCTCCTGACCCAGCCCCAGCAGCAGAAGGGGGATGTCCTCTCTCTGGAGGAGATTTTAGCCGAGGGAGTGGAGAGCGACACGTCCAGCCAGGGCAGCTCCAGCGAGGGGCAAGTCAGGCTGTGTAAGACAAGGATGAAGGCTCTGCAGGAGGCCATGTACTACAGCGCTGAGCACGGCTACGTGGACATCACCATGGAGCTGCGGGCACTGGGTAAGGCGTTTGCTTTATTTTAAGCATTGTGCACATTTAAGGTGTGGAAAGCTTTTTTCTCTGCACTTGGAGAAGAATCTACAACCCCAACTGCAAAGCTATCCCAAGCTTGTGGGAACCAGCTGCCTAATTTAAATAAAAGGGTCTTTAAGGCTCCTCACACGTTTTTCTGGGATCGGGGATGTCCCTCCCTTTTGGCTGGATCCTCTCTTCCCAAGTATCAAAAGCAGGAGGAATGTCTCTTTGCCAGATACTCTGACACCTACAGTTCAGTGTTAAAGAGGCTGGTCTCAAAACCAAAGAAAATATCACAGATTAAATGGTTTAAGGTGAAAGAACAGATTTGATCTAAAGGTAGGAAAGAGCAGCTTTGAAGCTTGTGTGTCTAGACTGGTACCAGGAGGAAAGACCTCACACCATTTTGGGGTAGGGTTAGGTATTCTTACACGTTCAGTTCAAATTTATTTTGTAGTTCTGACTACCCATGAAGCTAAATACACAACAGGGAGCCTCTGGTCCTTAACCATCAGCAGAGCGTTCCAACTTACGGTGGTGGTACCCATCCTCTGCTGTTGCAGATACGTCACTGAATCGGTCAGCGACCCAGTTCAGTCATCTTCAATATCAAGACAAAAACGTGTCTGCTGTGAGGATGTATGTACAGATCCACTCCAGCGCTGCTAAGTGTTAGTAACAGCAGCAGGACAGTCTACTCACAGGTAATTCAGCAAATTATCACCTCTCCCTGTGCTTTTCGCTGTGCCTGCAGGAGTCCCGTGGAAGCTCCACGTGTGGATCGAGTCGCTACGGACAACCTTCTACCAGTCTCGGTACTCGGTCGTGCAGATCCTCTTACGGGAGTTCGTCACCATCAAAGAGGAGGACTATAATGAAGAACTGGTTAATGACGGGCTGCAGCTCATGTTTGATATCCTCAAAACCAGCAAGGTAATTATTTGTTTTGTAGCGGTATCAAAGTGGGGTTTTTTTGCTGTTGTACACGTTAGTGCAGAACAAGAACAAGTGAAGGGCTGTGCACAGTCCCTCATGAGCTATGGTATGAAAACGACCCCAACAGCAGTTATCTAAATCCACGTACAGCCCACAAAAGCAGTCCCCATGGTACGACAGCAGTTATCTAAATTCACATACAGCCCACAAAAGCAGTCCCCATGGTACGGACATGGATTTCAATGCAAGTGAAAGCTATTCTGTTGAAGTCCAGTTCAGCAACTGGCTTTTGAACCCGTGGGAATGCACGGGGAAGCGTTGTCCACACCGTCCTGGGCAGTCCAGGTTCTCTCACTAAGCATCTTCTGGGCGTTTCCTGAACAATGCTTCTGTTCAGCGACAGTTTCTTGATAGTTTTTTCTTCTATTTCAAGGGTGCCTGTGCCTGTTTTTTTTCCCTTGCTTTTCAAGGCAGGTCTAGAATGGATTTCATCCCTGGTACATAGATTTAAGCCCATCTCATGGGATTACCTGTTACAGAGAAGTGCAAGGATGGGCTTTTACCGATGGACACTTTTTCCTTGACAGAGGTTGGCCCTTAAACTGTTGCTGAGAGAGCTCTGTCAGAGCATCTTTGTGCAGATGATGCTCTCATGCCTCTGGCTGGAGGTGGTTCTTGTAGGGTGCAGTGGCTACAAGCCTCAAGCAACTGTTACAGCGTGTCTGAAACCTGCTCACTACAACGTGCCATGTGGTGATGCCTGTTCCATCCTCCTTACAGAACGATTCCATCAATCAGCAGCTCGCATCCATCTTCACCCACTGCTATGGCAGCAGTCCGATACCCAGCATTCCCGAAATCCGAAAGATGCTGCCAGCTCGGCTGGGTAAGACGCTCACCTGAACGGTGAAGTGCTTGTGATTTGATTTTTTTTTTTTTAAAGCATCCACAGTTTAAAAAAAAAAAATCATCCTCTTTCTTTTTTTTTCTTACCCTAACAGATCCTCACTTTCTAAACAATAAAGAAATGTCTGATGTAACTTTCTTAGTAGAAGGAAAACTATTTTATGCACACAAAGTCCTGCTGGTTACTGCATCTAACAGGTGAGTCGCCTCCCACAGCTAAGTACAGATTGTTAAAGGAGGGTTTAGGCTCTCATTTGTGATGAGCTCCCCATCTCCCAGTGCAGTAAGGCAGCTGCTAAGACCACAACTACAGACCATCATTCCAGGGTGCGGGACACTTGCAGTTAACTCGTTTCTTTCTCACTCATTGGCACAATAACAGTGTTTTGCATTTATTAGAGGGGGGGATTGGATCAGACCCAAGCAAGTTACAGGTTAAGTTGTCCCCAAAGTTCTAAACTAATGGAAAGAAATGTTTCAATTTTCAACTTGAAAACAAGGCAGGATCTTTATTTTCCCTTTCTCAGGCTGTTTGTCAGTAGCTAATGAGAACGTGAAGCACTAATACAGAAATTATTAAAACCATTCCCAGGTTTAAGACGCTAATGACCAATAAAACAGAACACGACAGCCACGGCAGCAAGACTGTTGAGATCAGCGATATGAAATACAATATTTTCAAGGTACGTAACTTACTCTTTCTTTACTCTTTTCATCTTCTCACATACTTGGAGGCTAAGAGGGCCAAGGCTGAATATCAGAGGTGATTTACAAGTAGGGATGGGGTTCATTTCAACACCCCTGTGTTTCAGGAGTATTCTGACCGTTGTCAAAACTTTCCAGCTAGGACCAACCTTAGAACAGAAACCTCCAGCCTCGATTCTGATTTTCTTACTAGGCAGCTGGCTCCTCCATACAGCAGAGGAGAAACCAGTCTTCTACTGAAACTAGTTTTAATACTGTTAAGACACCATTTTCATGCTGTGCTAAGCGAGAAGTAACCTTATTTACAGCAGGTGGACTGCCAGGCTTCATATGAATTCACATCAGAGGCGCAGAAAGCACCGCTGTCCCTTTTCAAGAAAGGCTCACCATTGAGAATTGCGCTTGGCTTTTATGACGTTTCTGTATTTAATGGACCTAGGGGAGGTTTGCTCATGACAGAGAAAGTAGGTTACTTAACGCACACCCAAGGAAAAAAAGAAGTCAGTGAAATGTGATAGTTACTCCAGCTTTCCAGATCTGCATTTCAGATTTGGAAGTACGGGACAGAACAGGGAAACGTGAAGCGCAGAACAGGTTGTAAAACTGTTCCACTACAGCGTTGAGGCTTCTCCTTTTTCTCTTTTTATAAGCAAAGAAAATAGCAAAGCTGTTGGTCAGCAGTGCTGTTGCCTCCTGTAGAGGGAATGAATTTGACCATAAGAACATCTTTTTTTTTTTTTCTGCTACAAGTTTGGTGTTGGATGGATGACATCCAAATTTTGCAGCTCAGTCCATGACAGAAAAAAGAAAATACAATTGAGTATATTGAAACAAGCCTCCTTAACAAAATTTTTACATCAAAAAGCTTCTAAAGATAAACCTTTGCTTCACTGGAGAGAGCAACAAATCCAAACCAATTAAAACAGTGGAACACTTCATGGAATTAAACAATGTAATGGCAAATAAAATCAGATGAGTTAAGGAGACGATGGCATCCTACAGCATCTCAGTTACGGAGCACGGAGGATGCTGACCTACCGGAGATCCGTGTTCCGCTCAGGGCTCTGCTGGAAAGCAGCTGTGCTCCCCTGTAATACCAGCATACAAATCAGACAATTTAACAAGTAGAAGCTCAGTTTTGTTACCAGGACTGTTAGGACTGGTAAGCCCAGCACGCAATCCGCCCGCCTGCCGTGCAGCGCCCAGGACACCGGAACGACTCCTCTCTCCAGCTCCCAGTCCATCCCAGATAAGACAGTACTGGTTTGGCTGGGGGTGCACATGCAGATCAAAGAGCAGAAGCTGCCTCTCGCTCTCCCTGCAAACAATTAGGCCTTTTCCTCTGGGCCTGCTGGGGGGGCAGGGGAGGGCTGGAAGCTGATGAGAAGCGCAGCGGGGGAGGCAAGTGGCTGGGAGGTCCCCCAGACACAGATGCTGGTGGTGTGTTCAGCGCTCCGGCGAGCTGGCAGCTCTGCGTGCGACCAGCCTGCGAGGCTTTACAGAGCCAGACCCACGGAACCGTTTCACCAGGACATCCGTGTTGCTCAGAGACACGCTGTCACCCTCAGCCTAAAATTCCCAACAGGGCTCTTTTCAGAGCCCGAGGAAGAAAAGAGTATTAGCAAGCAGCAGATTTGCAACGCTAGGAAAAAAAAAAAAAAGCCAGAAGGGGAGGCGAGAG